ATTTGTTTCATTTAACCTAACTAAGTAATTTTTTATACACTGTCATAATACCAGAACTTGTGATAAAATCTTAAAGGAGTCCTTCTGAATTCATCAAAAAATTATTGTTTGTCTCAAATCACTGCATTGTTAGATAGCACTGCAATATAACAATACATTGGCGGGTATTTTTGTTTATATAAGTCACTAGGGTCATTCGCTTACCGATTTTGTAGGTCGGCGCGATGAATCCTTCTAGGGTAGAGCGGGGGTCGAGGATCCGAGACTCGGAACCCGTGAACGTAGGATAACTTTTAACTGATTGCCTTAAAGTTGGCCATTGGTTTTAATGGATTCCCAATGACTGCATTTTGTATTCCTGAACGCTATGTGCCATATTTGGATAAGGTTCTTGTCTCGAATGGAATGATTAAGGACAGGTTTGCTAAATGACACGGTAAATACTTTTAGACTTCAGCGACTGGCTGCGCATATTGTAGAGTCCTATGAGCATCTCGAAATAAACAACGTCTCCATAATGTGCGTTCTAAAAGGTGGATTTAAATTTTTCTCGGATTTGGTCGAAGAAATGCAAAGAATAATCTGGTCCCGAAATGCTCAGCTGTGTATTGCTGTTGAATTTATTCGCGTCAAGAGCTATACAGTACTTTGATCTTTAAAAACTATTGTTTAGGATACTGTTTCCGGTACTGTAGGCATAAGGCCGATCGACAATGCAATGCCAATTAAAGACAAGGTATGCGTTTGGCTCGTATTTCGCTGATTGTAATCATTAACAGAATATCCTTATCGTTGATGACATCTGTGATACGGGAAAAACTCTGGTTAAGCTATCCGAATATTTGGCTGAGGCTGGTGCCAAATCTGTTATGACTTGCTGGTAGGTGGATGCATTTCAGGCTTTTGTACGAGTTCTATAATCCTCATAGTCTTTTCTAATATTTACCTTCATTTTAGTTTGCTATTGAAGCACACCGATCTCAACATTGGATATAGACCCGATTGTATGTTTGGCCTCATTTCCACAGCATTGCATTTTCTGCATTATTTCCCTCGTTAGACCATTACTTTCATTTTTTTTGTTGATTTATTAAGTGGATCTTTGCGTGCACTGAAAGCCCACTTATCTAGTTGCCTCGTCAAAATTGTATCACTGTCCATAACTTTGTTTAGTTCTGGGTTTTGAAATTCCTGACGAGTTCATTGTGGGGTATGCAATCGACTACAACGAGTGTTTCCGAGACTTGTCGGTGAGTCTTATCGATAAATTAGCAGTCATTGCAAATACTATAAGTGTAGTGTACGGTACTTGTTCATGACAAATTTTCGAAATATAAAATTGGTCTCATTAAGGAAACTAGACTAATCCGTTCAAGTCTTGTTGAGATCTCACGAGATTTTGGCCCCTCTATAAAAGGCTTGTTTTCTCATGGAGGTGCAAATAATGAATTTCCAAATTTCACTGAAGGCAACGGGGTTGCTGATTTTTTGGCTGTCTCGAGGTGACATGGAACAAGTTGACCTTAACAATTATACAGAGATCTCGGCAGGCAATAAAGGCCTGTGTACGTGCAGAAGTTTAAATTCTGCAATAGAATGAGTGGTTCGGTTGTAGAGAAGTTGAGGATAGTATTTCATTGAATGGTAATAATGTCAGTGGTATTCAAGACAATGAGACTCATCGTAAACGCAAAGGTTCTCGTTTACCATTTTGACATGGCAGTTAATTTACAGTTTGATGAAAATCCTGGGCAGTGTTGTAGGAAATATTTGCAGAAAATCCTTGCATCCTTATTTTTTAAAACTTTTCATACTAGAAACGTGGATTCTGGGTGATTACCATTTTTCCGCCTTAATTTAATCCCACGTACTAGTAGTTATCGCGATAAACTAAGGTTTTAGTAGAAAGGTCGAGGTGAGGTCACTTTGATCGGTACTCCGGTTTTTACATTGTGCAGGATTATAAACAGATTTTTGTGTTTTCTCTTTGATCCAGCACATCTGCTCAATCAATGAGAAAGCCAAGGTGACTTTCTCGTCCCATAGTGACGTTGAGTTGGGCAAGCTGCCGACTCCCGCTCCTTGAGTAGTGAAGTCAATATTTTCTATGCCTATAATCCCACTTGCTTTTCTCAATAAACGTGCTTACAGAGGTGCGCAAATGTGCGCATTTGATTAAAATTTTGCCTACTTAATTCATATGGTGCAACATTGTTAGGTAATCGTACACCTCTACATGCAGGCAGTTGTGAATTCCTGAAGGCATTCCGATCAATGCGTTTGGGGAACGTCTTAGCGTGAATCATTTCTGAAATGTCTTCTGTCATGAATCTGCGAGTGTTTTTGCTAGTGATTTACAGTAAATACTAGCACCATAGACTTGATATGTCACGTCATTTCGAAAACGGAATCATATGTGCGATTGAGAGATCCATGAGGTGATATTTGTGAAACAGTCCCTCGAAGGGCTCACTGATTCCTGAACTGTCTCCATTTGCCAAAATGCAGGCATCACCAGCACCGAAAATTAACTCCGTCAACTCATTCAAATGGTCATTTCGTTGTTGCTTCAATGCTCTGGAAGTCCTTGGCATCCTGAATAAATAGATTTGGTTAGCTATCCTTTGGGTGGCAAGGAGGCATTGGTAGCCTTTTAGGGTGGGTTTCACCTCTTTGTGATGTGAGTAAACACTTGCAACCTCTGTTCAAAATGCATCGAAGGTCAGATGGTGCAATTTACTACCGCATTGCGGTGCGAATTGGGGAGTATCGTTGAAGTTGCATGCGAGGATTGTCTGCCCGAATTTTCTCAGTTCGCCCCTGCGTATGAGGCAAGGGAGATGCTCGTCAAAACCATACATATTTTTTAGCTAATTAAGTAACATCGAAGTTGGTTTACCGGCCCACGTGCATCTGATAGGTGGTTCTGCATCTACAGATATTTAAAACTGGCAGAATAAACCTAAATTGAAACAAGGAGTGAAGTTTTGTATGTTGTGATATGGCTTGCATAAAACAAATGAAATATCAAAGCCTGGCTTGGCAACACTTGTAGCAGCTCCCTCCTTGTGAAATCTTTGCATTCAAAGGAAAAATTAGACAGGCACACAGGCTTAACAAATCGATTAGATTTTCTTCTTTATTAAACATTTTAAACAAACAATGCAGGAAGCATTAAGGGTCAGGTTTCAGAATACTATGGCAAAGGAGCGGTCTTTTATAGTAAGTACTTTTTTTTCAAGTATTCCAAATAATCGGGGGAATCAACATCAGGGGTCTTTGCGTGCGTCACTAGGTCCCTCTCCACGGCTTGAAGATTCAAACGAGCCTTCTGTAGCATCAAAGTTGTCACCGAAGGAATGCCAAAAATATTGGCGCTTTGAAAATCTCTTTTTTTGGCCTTGTCCGCGTAAGCTTCGTATACAAAAGCATGGAAGTTAGCAGCATTTCGACAGCTATGTAGAGCTGAGGCAAGGCTTAACTCAGCTACTGTTATATGTCAATTCCTCAAACAACTTCCTGAAGACATTAAATAACAGTAGGACAACTTACAATCGCCAGCGATGAGACACACTTTCGGATAAATGCTCGGTTTGTATGGCTGCAGATCACTAACTGATACCTCACAGATTTCTCCGTTATCTGAGGAGTCATCTTCTGTGGCCTTTGAGGCGGGCTTCAGACGTCCTCTTCTGTCACCCTTCCTTCGCTTCACACGGCGTTCGGTCGAACTCTGCGATGCGTAGGAGGACTCCGTATCACTTGAATTGTCCAAAACAAAAAGGAGGATATTGCCGCCAATTCAGTAAAAAAGGTTTTAAGGTTCACTATAAATTATCATACAACACTTTAATGCACGTCAACACTTAAGCAGTGCGTTGTTCATACAACATTCATTGGTGCTTTCGAAATGCATCGAGCCTACTTTTGGTATAATAATGCTTCAAAATAAGGTTGTCAATTTGCCATCCCTCTACGACGACAATGAGAACTTTTACACATCAAGCTTTAGAATTTCTTCTGCTTCTTGTACAAGAGATGTCCAAACCAGCAATATCCGTACAAAACAACCAGACAAGATGTGTTAGTTGACTTCATTTTATGGCTTATGAACGAAATAGTTTTTAATCCGCTTTTGAGAAATGCCGTTTAAAAGACAAGCTACACATAAGTTGGATTTGCCTACCTTCTCATGCTTCTGTCCCGCCTGCTGAGGTGGTGGCGCAGTGAGGAATGGCGACTTCTGCGTCGTCGCAGAGTCTGCGTGATCAACTTATCAGCAAGGCGGTGTTCTGCACGCGCATTCTCCTCCAAAACCTGCTTTTCTATTAAGATTCGATTTCTTTCCAGTTCCAACTCGTGGATCTTGCGTTGAAGCTTCTCACAAGTGATTACATCATCTTCCTCCTATGAGAGGCATCGAAGAAGGAATAATAAATCCTAACGCACGGCCGAGTGCTTCTTTTGTGGACTGTGTTGCATTCATAGGCGAAAAATTGCGAGTTTAGGCACGAAGACCAAGGGACATTCCATAGACGTGATCAGGTGCGCTGCCACTAAGGTTTGACCCTCTTGTTAAGTTATCAACTTCTGCCTTGACACAGCGGTAGTCACTGAGATGCATTTTGATGGGTTATTCGTGAACCTGTAGAATAGCCACGGTTCGGGGTCTGAAATGCCTGCTTATGTCGGTGACTACTTTGAGTTTCTCAGAAGATACTGGGTTCGGTTAGAACTCAACTGTTTCAACAACCAGCATAATCATCAATGATGAGCGCATTTGAGGCAACATGTTGGCCGGTTATTTGACGATAGGTTTCCATCAATGTCCCTTTCGTGCCATCGGCCTCAGTCCCTTCTTTGTACCGATAATATGCATTCTGACCGGAAACCGTGTCTTCTTTCGCCCTCAGAGAAGTCTCAAGAAGCTGCATCACAGTAGGGTCATTTCAAAGGGATCACCTCATTCAATGTTTACATCTTCATTCATGCAGTTGTAGAAGGCAGACACCAAGATAACCTTTCAAGCACCTCAAACACGAATTGTGATAAAACATTGTGGGTGCATACGTGTGTATCGTAGAACGACCTTTTAAAATTGACAGTCTCGAAGTCTGTTGCCCTGTGGTGTCTACACAAGCACTGATGATTGTTCCACACTTGCTCAACGTTCACAGGCGTCTCCCTTATCTGTGCGTACTTGTTAGAAAGGAAGGTTTGTGCACAATCTGACAGTGCCCTAATAAGGCTTTTCAAAAAGTACGAAATTTTGCAAATTTTCTGAACTCGCTGACGCTGTCAATAGAATATTTATCATCACTAAATCTTGTCGCTGGTGCATAGCTTAAGGATCCAAAGCGCAACTTGACGATGTTCCCAACAAGATGATTGGTGAGGTTTCTCCACAGGATGCAGTTAACATTTTAACAACTACTCCTATCATTAAATCTGGCTTAATTACTCAGAACAGTAGGCTGCCTAACAGAGAAGGCCAAAGTACAGAATAGTCTTCTGCCTGTATATGCATCATTTTTAACAAAAGGCCTAACCCAAAGAAAATAAACATGTAACTTTTCGTGATTCCTCACAAAGCAAATCCAGAGTCTGATTGGACGTTAAGTAAAGTGCTCACACGGAAGCTTGTGCGACAACAGCATGAGGACTGTCGAAAAGGTTTCCGCCTTGTTCCTTGCAGCACTTCTGCCTCCGAACTTTCGCTCTCGCTTGATTGCCCTC